CCCCAAAACCCCAAAACCCCAAAACCCCTGGACTTCTAATAAAGATTGGATAACTTTAAATAATATATTAATGAACAATCTATTATTCTCCATATTGTTTCTTCTTCTGCTTGCTTTTGCAAAAGGAGCTTCCTTACAAAATTCATCAACAAAAGACAGTTTTTATGCAAGGATAAGCAATGAGTTAGGGACAAAGATTATTGAGAAAATTTCAAACCTTGATATTAAAGAGCATGGAAAACATAGCGGAGTCACAAGAGAAAGTATTAGAAAAGCACACTTTAATAGTTCATATGAAAAATGCTATTTAGCCTTCAATAATTACAACAAGAATTTGTTTGAAGGAGACTCAGCCCAAATGATATTATCTAGTTTCACTGAGATTGGGGATCTTGGCAATTATGAAAGATGAAAAAGTATTCCTCAAGCTGCTTACTACATTCTCCAACTTAACATTACTCATCTCCCAATTGAACTAAGAGTAGGAATTTGTTTTCCAGAACAATGTACTCAAGATATGCTGAACTTAATCGCTGGATATTTCTCAGATGGGACCGGTAAATTAGTCAGGAAAGTCGCCGAAATGCAAGAGATTGATATGCTAATTGAGCACAATGTGACTCTACAAACTCATTTTTATCATCCAGATACTAGAAATAAATTGGTATCTCAGCAAAATTCTACCGTTGCTCCAATCGCTTTGACAGTTGTTGGAGTGTTTTTCTTACTCACTGTTGTTGCATCTTTGACTTCAATGCAACTTGCACAAAAGAGGTTGAAAGAAACAAAGCAAAGGATTATTGAACAAGAAAAACTAGAGAGATTAAAGAACAATACAAATGACGAATCAAATCAATATTGTATTGATCCTTTCGAAAGAACAACAAAAGCTACAGTAGATGCTCAACCTGTAAATTACTCTGAATGCACGAGTCGTTCATCTAGAGCTACAACTGAATTCCAGCTTGAGACTCAGAAGTTTGCACCTGGGAAATTTATAACAGAGAATGATAGAAGAAATATGGTCCTTGAAGATTATCAAGAAGAGAGAGGTTTAGCTATGAAATATCTCAATTGCTTTAATATCTCTAAAAACTTAGGCGAGATGCTCAAAACTAAAAGAAGTAAAGAAGATGATGAAGAACTTGAAGTGCTTGAAGCTTTAAAGGTCTTACTCTTCTGATGGGGAGTAATATGCGCTACTAGTCTTTATGTGCTTACAAGTAGTGGCCGGAACATTCCTATTCTTTTGAAGTTCTTCTCTCAATATGATTTTGCATTTATCAGTGCAGGGAACTTAGTGCCTGAAGCATTCTTTTTTATGATATATTTCTTTAGTTTTATTAAGATCAATCAATATTATGATCGCAAAGGAGTTCTCAGGACCAAAAATTATCTCTGGCTGTTTCTCTATCGAGTTTTGAAAATGGCTCCACTCTATTACTTTGTATTTCTCATTGGCTGGGCTTTACTACCATTAGCATCAAATAATATCAACTGGTTTGGAACTGATAGGCTCTTTCACGATTGAGATTCGCAATGGCCATATGTACTGACGTTTTTAAACACATATTTCCCTTTCTTTACACAAGCGCTTAGAGGTTGTTTCTATTGGCCATATCTTGTTCCCAATGACCTTCAGCTATATATCTTCTTTCCTATATGGATTATTGTGTACAGAAAAAATAAAAATGCTTTCCTTGCTCTCATGCTTGTGCTCCAACTAGTTGGATTGTTCATTCATGGATTTATTGGATACTATTACAATCTAAGTGTTGGTATTATGACTCTTGATGATTATTACTTGTGGTCTTATCAATTCAATAAAGCTCATACTAAGGTGAGTGCTATCTCATTTGGTCTCACAATGGCTTACATTTATCTAAGAATTTTAGAGTATCGTAAGTCTAATGATGATGGCAAAAAGAAAAACTTTAAAATTATTGATTTTATGCACAAATCAACTATCGTCACCATCTTTCTCTATTTGTACTCAATACTTATCTTTGCCTGCATTACTCTAATCGTAAGATCTGCTAACGATGATGCTTATTCATGGTCTAGAATGCAAAATACTTTATACACTATTGCTGCAAGGCCACTGCTATTAACAGTAATTATGAGCTTGCTTCTGATTATTTTTATGGGTAAAGGTCACATTGCAAAATATTTAATGACTTCACGGATTTGGCTGCCCCTATCTAACCTGACTTATGCAGGATATCTGATTTATCCTATAGTAATTGGTGCCAATTTTTATGCTTCACAGAGAGCATTCTTCATTACCAATCCATCTATAATATTCGCAATGCTGAGCAATATTATTATCTGTTATCTTGGAGCTCTTGTGCTTCACATATTTGTTCAAGCTCCGATTGACAGGGTTCTTAAGACGACATACCAAGTTGTCAGAAATTCCAGAGGATCTCTCGAAACAATGTCTGAACAGGGATCTTTACTTGAACCAAATGAGATCACTAAACTGTAAAAATTCCGGAATATTCTTACTCGAACTAATTTGCATTAACCTGACGTCATTCGATTATTATTCAACTCATGTATAATTAAAGGGGTTTTGGGGTTTTGGGGTTTTGGGG